TGATATTAATATTGATATAAAAATCGATTCACAAAATTAGTTATTTTTAAATAAATTAAGTTTAATAGAAAAGTCGCCTAAAATTCATGTACACATCAAACTTGAAATATAAAGCATATGATTATTACCGGTATATCGATTACCGCTTGCAAGTGAATGATTAACCGATATGTTTGTGACGGATATAGTGTTAATCGCAAACATCACCCAAATTGATCCAAATCTTATGTGTAATCCACGAGATCTGTGACTGTCTATCATTAGGGCCCTCACGAGTGGATTGAATAACAGTGTTGACGAAGTCGTGTTTCATCCCAATCCTGAACCGACATTCGCCTGTCTTTAATGGACACACATTTATATAAAACCCTAATTTGTTTCCCTTTCGAAACGATATAAAACTAAAACAAAGAAAAATGCAATTAAAATGAATGAATGAATAAAAAGAGTGAATACTTGTTGTCGTCGTTGAACTGTGACTGAAAGTTCTTATCGATGTCGAGGTCTGCGGTGTCGTCTTTGGGCGCCAAACCCATTACAAGTTGAGGCACTTTAATGGCTGCGCTCTCATCAGAACTTTCGGACAAATCAAAGATCGTTACGTGAAGTGCATAAGGGGTTGGATTCTGTAGAGTCATCTCTAGCCTAAACTCTTGTCCAATCTTTAGCGTTGGAATCGATTTGATCCGCAGTTCTGGGATGTGATAACTAAAACAGACAAAACAGTTACTGTATTAACAATACACGAATGGATGGATAGTTTGGATGATTGACTCACTAAGCGCTGAGTTGTATCTTAAACTTAATGGATGAGGGATTGTATTCGGGTTTACTTAAGTTGTGATCACATGTCTTGCATCGTAACGAATGCTTCACTAAAAGCATTTGTGAGACGGGATAGAGGCTGGAGGTGTGGTCGGGCTGTGTCTCCACTTGCATTAGGCGTTGATTAAGAGTCGACGTCTCACCCAAAGCCATGTCTTGGGGAGTGTTATAATAGGCGTTGATATCGAGCGCTTCGATCTGATCGGTGGCCACAGAAGTCTCGAAATCATTCATTTCTGTCGGAGATTTCAGATCCGATAACGAGAAGCCGGAACTGCTTTTTGCCATTTTGGCCCTTAAAGTGGCCGTCACTTTAGGCGAGAGGGAAGGAGTGATGCCATACTTGTCGAGCAATATAATGGCAGAACGCGGACTAATCCTCTTCTTCTCTTTATCCAATTTCTCTCTTTGGGCTAACAGTCGATACCTATCGAAGAGCGCATCCAATCGCTTGGCGTTCGGTGTCTCCAATTCGGGCCAATTTCCCGACGCTATCAGACATTGAGACACAATTCAAACATATGTTTCACAGTTTTTGATAATAAATATAATCAATAATAACTGACCGACGGTTTGGTCGGGAATTCCGATATCTCTTGAAGACCAGCGACAGTAATAACAGATGAGAAAAAATACTTTCTTCGGCTGAGTTTGAGTGGAATCGGTTGGGCTCTGAGTGATGATCGCTCTTGTGGTCAATGTATGCATACATGACGGACACTGGAAACAAGAGGCGCACCTATAGGTGACATAACAAACACACCATTAGTCCCAAAGACATCATCACTAGTCATGTCTTCACATACTTATTCTTCTTGAGTTTAGCGTCAATAGAGGGGATGTATTCGAGACAGTGTTGACAGTACTGGGAGTCCACCTATAGATCAGATGAGACATGGATTGTGAGCATTAATAAGTGAACCGATAACTAGTGATGTCTTGAGCACCACATCATCACCTCATGGGAGACACAGTCGCGACATCTGAGTTGATGGCAATGTCTGCAGAAGTATATGCGATGAATGGATTGAAGTGAACCACAGGTGCACTCATAGGCCACTCGTTTGCTCTCCAATACTTCGGGAATCAATGAGTTGTTCATTGCTTACCACCAAATGATCACTAAAATAGTCACCAAATGTGACCATCAATTCATAACAAGAGTTGTGGAAACGTTTCGTTCAAATAAGACGTCTCTTAATGTGGGAAACGATTGAAACGTTTTGTAATAGACTTACGGTTTGAATGAGTCATAAAAGGGGTCATAAAATAGACAAACATATGATTACGTAATTGTGTTATAGTTTGACACCTAATGTACAGTCAATACTCGCTATCGAGTCATATGTTGTGTGCTTTTGGGTATCGATTGTAGCGTTGAATGCATTGACGCTATGAGTGAAGTTCGCTATGGATTTGACTGTATTTACAGTTAATCACTAATAATATGTCAACAATTGATTGAAACTAAACATCAATACAAAGACTAAAAGCGTTTCAATTAGTCATTCATTTTATTTGCCATTTATTTAAATTCAATACAATTTAAATGCATTTCATTTATAATTGAAATTATTTCGAAACCAAATTATCGCCGATTTTATGATGTGATCAGAGATTAGACGAATTTGTTGCGAAAATCAGTCACAAATAATGGATAAATTTGCCATCGATTTGGACAGTATTTTGGATCAGCTCGAAGACGGTTTGTCTCCTTCTCTTGACATACATTCTTCGTATTTATGATATGAACTAAGAGTTTGTGTCCACTTTGCAGATGACACGGAAGTGAGAGGACGTCCGCCATCGCTGGTGAAGATCGCGAATAACAACACTTTTGGTTACAATAAGAGTAACTTCTCGTCTCTTCATTCGTATTGCGATGACTCGAGTGTCGGCCAGACATCGGGCGATGCGATGGTCTGTTCCACGTCTTCGTCGGCCCACAACAACAGCGCATACAAACGTCGCCTCTTGTCGTCGTATATGGAGAGCCAAACACTGGAACCGTTGGACTCATCGGAGGCTGACTTTGGCATTAGTGTCAAACGGATTGATAGCGAATGCAATGGACTCTTAGATCTAAACGACGGAAAGAGTGGAAACACTACTTATAATGCGAGCAAAGAAGTGAACGAATCGATGGAAAAGAATCGATTGATTACTTCGTTGTTAGAGAAGGCGAAGTGGAATACAGAGGGAGTGACACAAGAAGGCCATGAATACGATGTCGACACCGGTTCCAGCGATGAAGAGGTTTCCGATGAAGTGATTTACGTGTCGATCGACCAAAAGGGTGACAACAATGAGAGAAGAGATTCTGTGGAAATCCAAGAACCGTCGAATGATGGACAGCAGATCCAAATTGAGATATTGCCATCGAATTCAACACAACTGATATTCGATGACATTATTAACGACACGAATGAAAGTGTTTTACAGAATAATAGTTCAGATCTGATAGAAAGCGGAGAACATATTGAAGAATCGGTTTTGGATGCGATCGAAGAAAACGATTTAAAAGTTATGGACAAAGATATGGAGACAACTGTGAAGTCAGAAGAAGAAGTTGTTAATGATTTAAGCGAAGAAAGATGTGATGAAATGTTGTGTGAAATTGAGTGTCAAAAGGATGTGAAATGTGAAGAAACTGTGATAAATGAAGACAAATGGGACACCGATTCGATGAAAAATAATTTCGACGAGACTTCAAATGTGATGAAATTCAATGAAATTGAAGTAAATATCGATGAGTTGACAGAACAGGAGATCAATGAATATTTGCATGATTTTGAAGACAATTCGTGTGAAAATAATGAATTAGTTGTTTCTAACATCAATTGCGATGACATCGAAGCCAATGTCTCAAACATCTCAAATATGTCTCAAATTAATATCCAAACCAACAGTGATTTAATACACAATGATTTTTTGAACGCAAACATTGATAAAGATATGAATTCAATGAGTCAGTCGACGTCCAGTGTCTCCATTGAAGAGAACGATAAAATTAGTGATATTTCTGACTTTGATGTCAGCCATCATCAGAGCAATAGTTTTACGCAAAATTACGACAATTGTATCGATAATCAAAACGATAACATTTCTCAAACCGATGACATTCCGTCGCGAATAAGTCGCCCCAATTCTCTTGCAATCGCTTCCAATGCAATACATGTGAACACTTTGGAGACCAATGAGGAGCTTATCGATGATTCTGGGACTCAGACTAATACTGACTTCGGCGACGACAACATTACTAATGAGATGAATGATGTGCTAAATGGTAATGAATTGACACCAAATGTGCCAAACGGGGAGTTTAGTGAACAGAATCTAACTCTGGGTCTCAATGAAAACATATGCGAGGGTTTGAGCGAAGATTTGACACTCGGTTTGAGTGAAGACGAGCAGATGTTGGGCAAAGTGAAGCCCTTTTGGATTCCCGACAACGAGTCACAGATGTGTATGCATTGCGACATCAGATTTACTCTCATTAAGAGAAGACATCACTGCAGGTTTGGATCAAACATTTACTATTTGTTTTAGATTTTCAAATTTATTTTACATCACAATAAGTGATACCCCTTTCCTCTCTATTACCCGACTATATTGAGTTGTTATTAAAACATTCACTTATGTATGAGTTGTTATTAAAACATTCACTTATGTACGATATGTCAGAGCGTGCGGTAAAGTATTGTGCGCCCAGTGCTGTAACAGTAGAGCAAAGCTGTTATATTTGGACTGCGAAGTGGCCAGAGTTTGTCAGGTCTGCTATTCAACGTTAGCCAGAAGTAAGCGTATGAGATGAATGATGTGCTAAATGGTAATGAATTGACACCAAATGTGCCAAACGGGGAGTTTAGTGAACAGAATCTAACTCTGGGTCTCAATGAAAACATATGCGAGGGTTTGAGCGAAGATTTGACGCTCGGTTTGAGTGAAGACGAGCAGATGTTGGGCAAAGTGAAACCCTTTTGGATTCCCGACAACGAGTCGCAGATGTGTATGCATTGCGACATCAGATTCACTCTCATTAAGAGAAGACATCACTGCAGGTTTGGATCAAACATTTACTATTTGTTTTAGATTTTCAAATTTATTTTACATTACAATAAGTGATTACCCCTTTCCTCTCTATTACCCGACTATATTTAATTGAGTTGTTATTAAAACATTCACTTATGTATGACATGTCAGAGCGTGCGGTAAAGTATTGTGCGCCCAGTGCTGTAACAGTAGAGCAAAGCTGTTATATTTGGACTGCGAAGTGGCCAGAGTTTGTCAGGTCTGCTATTCAACGTTAGCCAGAAGTAAGCGNGATATGTCAGAGCGTGCGGTAAAGTATTGTGCGCCCAGTGCTGTAACAGTAGAGCAAAGCTGTTATATTTGGACTGCGAAGTGGCCAGAGTTTGTCAGGTCTGCTATTCAACGTTAGCCAGAAGTAAGCGATTGTCTTATAGATGTTATTGATTATAATAAATGGCAAAACTTATATGCGATTCTTTGATACTAACAGTCGCTGCAATTGAAAGAAATGCAAACGATATGAACCAATCGAGTCCTTCCACTTTAAGACCAGATAATCTCTATCCGAACTCAACTTCGGGCTCGTCCTCTATGTCTAACATCCGGAGTCCGGATCCGAACAATCCATCGGAATATTGTTCGACAATACCTCCATTAGAACAGGAACAGGAGCTGAGGGACCGAATGCCGCCCACTGTTATGGTGCCCGTAGGCGTCCTCAAGAGAGGCGATCGGCCCAAAGGCGAACCCAAACAAGTGGTGTTTTCCGATGGCATCCGTCCCGGAGGGGACTTAACTGAAACCAGTGAGAGCTCTACCAGTAGTCTGACATTCTTGCGGAGAACCGGAAGAATTCAACACAAACTCAAGTCTCCGCCCGTTGAGAGCGTACCCGCAGTTCAAACCACTACCACAGCATCGAAATCAAAAGCCAGTCGTATTGTGATAACTGATACAAACGGAACATTGCCTCCAATTATCAATTATTATGACTTGAATGTTAACAAATCAGTTAAAAATAAGCCAACCATCATCAATCTAATCGATTTTCTCAAAAACAAAGACTTGTGTCCAGTCGTGTTCGCGTTGACCAAGAATTTACATATTTATTCAAAAATTGTTTTGAGTGAGTATTAAACCAAATGCTTTTGAAAATAAATCCTAAATTGTTTTCATTGATATCATAGAGAGCTGTTGCGTAAAGAGTGAAGTGTGGACTTTTGCCTCGAAAGGTATGGCCACTATAGGTCAGGACGAGATACTCGTCTCATTAGAGCGTCTCCCAGAAGAGGATATCTTTCCCAGAGATATATTCCGCTTATTTACCACAGTCTATGACAGCGCCACTAAAGGCATGTATTTCTCGTTGCTTTCAATTCAATATCTAACTCTTTCTAAACTCATTGATTAGGCGCTACTTTTAATGATTTAAATCATTTATTTTTTCCCGACGGACTGTTTGGCAACAAAGACAACAGTGGCTTCTTATTCGCGCGCCCGACTCTCCAGTGCTTTAGTAATCTAGTGTTGCCGTCACCGCCTTTCCTATTGGCTATTCTTATACATAAATGGGAGATCCCATGGGCTAAGGTCTTCCCAATCAGACTATTGTTACGTTTGGGAGCGGAATATAAATGTAAACTATTTTTATCATTTCTTTATCATATATTGGTTTATATAAATGTATTTTCTATTGTATTAATAGACTATCCGAGTCCTATAGTGAGCTATCGGTGCCGCAAACCTGTCTATTGTGAGATCGGTCACACCATTATGAATGTGTTGGCTGTAAGTCAGACATCAATTAATTTGATGTACAATTGGTTAGAAAACTAGTATTTGAATTATGCATACTTTTATAGGACTTTCGAAATTTTCAATATACTCTTCCGACTGTTTCCGGACTAACCATTCATTTGGAAGACAAGAAAATAACGGTTCATTTGCCGCGAAATCGTTACGAAAAGGTCCAGAAAGTGGTGGCCACTAGTAATGAACACGTGTTGGCTTTCGGGGCCAACTTTAGCCTTAAGGCTGACTCGCATTTAGTGTGTATGCAAAACGATGTGGACGGACAGTACCAAACGCAGTCCATCAACATCGAGGGCGCCCCACGCAAGACAACGGGCGCCAGTTTCATAGTGTTCAGTGGGGCCCTCAAGTCCAGCACTGGACTCACCGCTAAAATGTCTATCGTTGAGGACGGACTGCTCGTTCAGATTCCGCCCAACACTATGACTGAGTTAAGGAACTCAATCAAAGATATGAAAGATTATGATATCAATTGCGGTAAAATTGATTCACTGCCCGATGAAGTGATACACATGTCTTGGGCTGAAGAAGATATGTCCGTTAATCTCGGGTTTGTTGTCTATTTAAAGTTTATTTTAAAGTCGTTTAATTTGAGACATATGTTGAATAGAGTCCGGAGTCCTATCGACGCTACGAATCTTGAAGGCATTCAAAGCATACGAATATTTAATGGAACCGATTATACAAACAATAAATTTGTTATTCGTTGGACTGAAGTGTTCTTTCTTCACGTCAATGAATTGAGTCGAAGGTATTTACCGTTTATTGTTTGAAATTATTGCCAAATTAATACTTATAACTACTTTTGTTTAAAGGCATGATTCGCTCGACTCCAGCAGATTAGCAGAGATGATATCTCAAGCATTTTGTTTAGCACTCACTTCTTGTTTCACCGCTAAAATGTCTATCGTTGAGGACGGACTGCTCGTTCAGATTCCGCCCAACACTATGACTGAGTTAAGGAACTCAATCAAAGATATGAAAGATTATGATATCAATTGCGGTAAAATTGATTCGCTGCCCGATGAAGTGATACACATGTCTTGGGCTGAAGAAGATATGTCCGTTAATCTCGGGTTTGTTGTCTATTTAAAGTTTATTTTAAAGTCATTTAATTTGAGACATTTGTTGAATAGAGTCCGGAGTCCTATCGACGCTACGAATCTTGAGGGCATTCAAAGCATACGAATATTTAATGGAACCGATTATACAAACAATAAGTTTGTTATTCGTTGGACAGAAGTGTTCTTTCTTCACGTCAATGAATTGAGTCGAAGGTATTCACCATTTATTGTTTGAAATTATTGCCAAATTAATACTTATAACTACTTTTGTTTAAAGGCATGATTCGCTCGACTCCAGCAGATTAGCAGAGATGATATCTCAAGCATTTTGTTTAGCACTCACTTCTTGTTTGGATCAGTTGTTTGAGAACGGATTTACTAAAATTGGTTTACGAATTAGTTTGGACGCCGATAAGGTATTTGTTTGAAATTATATATTGTATGCATTGTGTGATCATTAATTTGAATGTTAAGGTGGGATACGAAGTGGGAAGTAATGGCACCGCTTTGCCGCCCCAATACACCACTGAATTGGACGGCGCACTCATACCCGTCATTATGGACAACATCTCTTCTGGCATTGAAGACCAACTTGTGATGGAGTTATTGTTTCATATTTTAGTTAAATAAGTCGTCTCTTTATTTATATTTAATTAATATTAAACTAAAACATGTTTTATATAATTACCGATAACTTTCCTATTTTTTTCGTTTAACTAAGAAATTGTTTTAATTTATAAAAAAATATATTTACAAAGAAATTAGCAATTATTTTGTTGTAATGATTATCAAATAAATTGAGGCCTTAATTGCAGACCATTTTTAATGAATACTTTGAAATGATTTGTTATTAACTACTGATTTAAAGACCTATTGGTTATTATATGTTTACGATAATCCGCTTATCTGTTGAAGGGTTGGCTCAAAAGAGACATCAAATATGGCATTACGTAAACGTCACGTAATGTGTGAACGAGTAGTCATTGTGAGCCTTGAAGTGAGTGTTTTTGTGTCTCCAGAAGTGTTGAATCGATTACTCAATTCATTCATTCAATCGTACAATGAATTCAATGTTTATCACAATTATAACCATTCATTCAATTCACACAAAACAATACAATTAATCATTCAATTAATTCAATTCGCGATTCAATTATTAATTCTCAAACACTATATATGTTTGCAATTATTTGTTGGCATAAAGAGTCCATTCAATCATATAATCACATCATTTAACACAAAAACATTTGTTTCAACGAAATTGTAATTAAATTTTTTCGTCATTTTTTTCGTTTGGTTTACATTTGAATAAAATTTAATTTTTGGGTAAGTTTTCAATGGTTTTCAATTCAATGACTCGTTTATCGGTTTAATTGTTATTAAATTTTAATCACTTTTGTTATTGTGTTTATAATTATGCGATAATTGGCCACTGATTTGGTGTCGATTTAGAGGACATAACAGACCATTAAGTGTTGCGTCTTCTCTCCCAATGGATCCGTACAATGATTTGCATCAAAACAATGGCCAAAATGGGCAACAAATGCCTCAAATGAATAGCGATCCCAATGCTAGACAAAGACAAGCGGGAGATCACTATTTGGCGGATCAGATGTCTCAACAACAACAACAACTCAGGCATCACTTCAATACTCCGATGGACTCTCACTTGAGACGTCCCAACACTACATATAACGACTCAATCAATGAAATCACAAAACAAACCAATGCTATGTCTTTCGGAGTTAACGGTAAAAACAATTACAACAGTATTGGCGGCGCCGGAGATATGGCCAACAATTCATGGATTCAATCAGGTTTTTGTGCTCCACTTATTGTCCCCCCATTTAACCATATTCTTCGTGATTGCAGTGCATTAACGCATATCTACTAAACATATTACCACTCGTTTTATTATATTTAGTGTTTATTAAATAAATGTTTTGTTAGAAAACACTTCCTATGAGTGAATGTAATTCAATGCAATCCATGAATGAAATTGAAATACTATTCATTGATAACATGAGAAGAAATGTGTTATTTGTGATGAAATATAATTTCTATAACTTGTAGTTTATTATGTGTTGAGATTTGTATAGAAAAAGTAATGCTTTATTGTAAATGAAATGTTGTGTCTCAGGGGCTAAGGGCCAGTCGACACCAATGGGATCGGGCTCTTCGATGGGCGCAGAGAGCAAGTTATCTCCATTTGCCAAAGAATTCATACCACGAACGACGATGTCTTACGCGCCTTCGGGTCCGTCCGCGTCCAACGGCTGGAATCCGGTTCGCGCGGATCCGGTGCCGCCTTCCGAACGAGATTTCGATGACTTCATTGCCTGCACTTATTTGCGTGAATTCATTGATACGATTACTATTAAACCGAATAAATACGACTCAGGAATCGCTTACTTGACTGAAGTTATCAACAGTTACATCGATGAGGACGAGTCGGTCCTCCAGACCATTGTTAACACTATAGTCGATCAGGTATTTCATAATTACGTTATATTTATTTCGCAATTTACTCATTGATTGTTACCATTTTGATGGCATATTACAGGCTATACTCGATCCCCAATTCCGGTACAATGGAGTCCGTCTTTGCACTTATTTTATGGAGCATTTGATCGACTTATCCGAAGAAAAAACATTCAAACTTCTTCTCTTTAAACGGTTATTATTGATATGATTTGAGTGTAAAATTGAAAACAATTAACATTTGGTTTGATTTATAATAAAATAGGTGTCAAAGAGAGCACTCGAGACGCGATTCATTGATCAGTTCGGGAGAGAGTGAGAACTATTTGAGAGGACTGACAATGTTTATCGGCGACCTATACTCGCGCTCTCCGGCGCCCGAATTGGCCGAATATTTGCCGCAACTGTTAATATCGCTTCTCTCGAAACCGCATAAAGAGAACCTGAAGTGTGTTTGTCAAGTGCTTAAGGTTTGAGATAATACTTGTGTTGCAATTATTATGTGTTTTGACAATAATTGTGTGGTTCGGCTCCCAATCACTTATCAGTTGTGCGGTTCTTCATTGGAGAATCATTACATCCAAACGAAAGGCGATGACATGAATCAAGTGATGAAAGACATGGAGACGAGTTTAACCACTAGTGAGGCCAGCATTTACATCAAGGAATTGGTGGTGAATATAATTGAGATGCAGAAACGCGGATGGGTTCCCAAACCTCCCGCCGCCCACACACTCATCAACCCATACCTACCGAATGGCACACAATTATCCCATAAAAAAGCTACGATTTCAGGCGATTATTACGAGTATAGCACTTATTCTGACGAAGAAGAAGAGGAGGAACCAGTGCCGCAGAACCAGAACCAGAGCCTTCCGCCGCCGAGATTAGGGTCTGTCTCTATCACATGCACTATATATTGTTGAATATAATGTCATTTTGTTATGAATATTAGCTACGATTTCGGTCAGTGCGGCGACGAAGACGACAGCGAAGTCTGCGAAGCGTTTGAGGAATTTCTCAAGAATTCGGGCCAAAATTGATTGAAAAATGAAACCAATTTTTACAACTTATTTAAAGTCTTATTTAGTTCTCATTATATAATTATATTTACATTTTATTGTTTCCACTTTTTTGGTTCATAAATAAAGGCTCCGAAAGCCATGACTTAACTCTTTTAAATTTTTGTCTCAATTTATTTCTATTTTGAAAACAAAATTGTGTTTCAAAAACATTTGAATAACCTTTGCTTTATTGACACAATTGATTGCATCCACTATTGATTGGATATTGTTTTGTAAAAATCTATTTGATTACAAATGATAGCATGCGTTGAATGAGACAATCGTTTGTGTTTTAAAAGATTTTATTGAAAATTATGTCTTAAATATGTTTCGAAATAAAGAATAACTAACTTTACTATAATATATATTAATTTTGATTACAAATGATAGCATGCGTTGAATGAGACAATCGTTTGTGTTTTAAAAGATTTTATTGAAAATTATGTCTTAAATATGTTTCGAAATAAAGAATAACTAACTTTACTATAATATATATTAAGCGTATATTTAATTCATATGTGGTATTCATTTAAAATTTATTATTCATCATAAATTATGCCTAAAGTTACATATTTAATGGTAAACATAAATGGCATCATTTAATGAGTTACTGTTTATTCAATAGTATTAATGAATTCTATGCTTTGTATTCCGTACTCAATATTAATAGAAACTCTTTTCACAAACAAATAATATGAATTATCATCAAGGTTATTAATATAGGTTATACTCCTATTAGGGTTGGTAATATACAAAGCTTGTATTATACAATTGAATTATTCCTTGTATTATTCATTGTATAATATAAAGCAAGATTCGTCTATTTTGTATAATACTGTACAAAATTTTACAGTTAGACCTATTGGTCAAATATTGTTAGCTCATCAAAGCACGTGTAAATTGTTTGTGTATTTCAAACGTGTTTGCTTATTCAATTCAAAAATTGTATTTTCCCAACCCTACTTTATATAAATTGCACATGTGTTTAATTTAAAGGTCTCACGAGATTAATAATTTTCACAATTGATAAAACTATTTATCTTTTGAAGCGATTTGAGTCACTTATAGTTTTGGATTATCTCAACTCTTTATAAAGTTAATAATATTAGTTACAAAGTATATACTTTTCATATTAATATTATATAATTTCGTATTAATATTGTAGATATAAGGATTTACCTGTTATATGTAAATAACATGTTTACGGTATAAGGAAAACAACATTTGTTGAAATAAATTCCAATAAAGATTGATTTGATTTACTGTTATACAGTATTTACAATAAACTATGTTAATAGAGCATTAATTCTCGTGAGAAAACAGTATAAAAGTCATTAAAAATTTTATTAAAAATGGTTAAAAATAAGATAAAAGTTATGGAAATCATATATATTTTGCGTCAAATGTCGTAAATTTTGCAAAATACCTGTTAATAAAATTTTTATCACAAAAAATTAATTTATACATATCGATATGAATTTCGATTAACCAACAATAATGTAGCCACGTACAGTACATTTGTAATAACTCAAACTATAGCAGAAAATTTAAATAATTAAAACAACTCACACAGCGATGCTATACGTTAACCACAATTGGGGTAGTGCTCAAAGAATAGATTACATTGTCCATAGATTTAATATAAGTACAAGAGCTTTGCCATAGACTTAACACTAATTTCATAGATCTAACATGCATTACAGTGTCATAGAATCGGCATTATTTCCATAGAATCTAATACAGATAATTCAAATATTTGTCAAATTTAGCATTTTCATAAGTTCTTTGCTGCTCTAACAAGTTGTTAGTTAATTGAAAACAATTTGGATCTTTTATATTTATAGATAATGCCTGACCATTAAGGCATCTAATAATTCTCATAAACATTTGTAATGAAAAAATTACAATGTTTAAATTTCTATGGCTGTATTAATTTTAAGTTATATAATTTACCTACAATTAAGCTTTAAGTTACTTAAAACATTTACAAATCAATAATAATTTATAAAAACAAATAACATGTTATATTACAATCGGTTTGCAAAGAATATTCAATAAAATCAAACATTTTTTAATTATTTAAAACAAAAACTAATCAAATTTCATAGAATTACTAAAATTTTATTTAATGAATAAGTAATTGTATGAATTAATGTTATTAGTAACGACCATAATCAAAAGTAATTAAAGTGCTCCTCGATTGTGGTTAAATCTTGCAATTTCTGTAAAAATTTTATTTTAATATTACTTTTTTAATTAATATTAAATGAAAACAATTAAAACATTTATTGCGTTAAATCTTTTATTTTTAGTTACAATTATAATACAAATCAATTGTCTATTGATATCTCTGTAAATCACATATTCATCACTCATTGATTAAATAATTAAAATAATTACAATTATATAACGCCTCAAAGATAAGTGATTTACAAAACAATTGATTAATAGATTAGTGTTTCAAATGTATTCAATGTAAATATACTACAAATTATATTATTTTAATTGAAATTTAATTAAATTAAACGAATTAATTGTACTTTTAAAATAAAATTATAATAAAACTAAAATAAAATGTTTAGTGAATAAAAAAGTTTGCAAAATGTAATGTGAAATGCATTGAAAGAATAGAGTGAACGCTATATTCAGTGTTGCAGTCATTGGACAGAATTAACGGCAAGTTTTGGTTTGAATGCAACAAAAACTGTAACCAAAAAGTTTTTGACCCAATCTTTGGGTGCATTCAGTGTTCGTCTGCTTTTGAGGACACTTTCACTCCATTTGTGAATCACTTTTACAACACATTTGTTAATCATTTGTTGATTTAGTTATCAATTGATTCATTAATTTCTCATTCAATTCATTCACCGAAACATACATTGCATTCAAAGCCAACCGTTTTGACCGTAAATTGCATTTGGATTGCAATCTAACTGTAAATGAATGCAAAAGCGATTGACTATTGAATTGATTAATTGCTTTGAATTGAAAACTACTAGAAATTGGTATCAATTGAAAGACAATCTGATTGGCGGACAAAGAGGTGAGGAATGTCTTCGGGAATAAGCAAAGAGCAGAAACTGTTGGATCTGATTGAGAAGAGCGGCTATAATATAGTGCAAGAGAACGGACAGCGAGTGTTCGGTCCGCCACCCGATTGGCCGCCGTCTCGACCGCCGCCACAGAAGGGCTGCGAAGTATTTGTGGGCAAAATCCCGCGCGACTGCTATGAAGACGAATTGGTGCCACTCTTGACACATATCGGACCCATATATCAGTTGCGGCTTATGATGGACTTCAGCGGAACCAATCGGGGCTACGCTTTCGCCACTTTCACCAATCAATGCGATGCCAACAAAGCCATCAAAGATCTCAACAACTCGGAGATCAGACCAAACAAACGCATCGGTGTTGTCAAGAGTCTGGACAACTGTCGGCTCTTTATCGGCAATATTCCGCTCAACAGAACCCGTTTGGATGTCATCGAAGAGCTCTCCAAAGTGACCGAAGGAGTGGTCAATGCAATCGTTTATAACAATTACAATAAACTCGACAAACAGTACAGAAATCGTGGCTTTGCTTTCGTTGAGTATAAGACTCATCGGTAGGTCTCCTAAAGCATCGCTTTGTCTTACAGTTTGCTTATTATATGCTATTATTTGCTTTCATTCCTCTTAAGGGACGCCGCAATGGCTCGAAGAAAGTTATTGCCGGGTATTAAAGAGTTGATTCACTTTTCAATTGTATGTCTTATAATTTTGATGACTATATTTCAGGCAAAATCAAACTCTTTGATTGCGAGATAAGCGTCGACTGGGCTGTGCCGGAGCCTAATCTCGACGACGAGATCATGTCTAAGGTTCCTATAGATTAATTACAAGACATTAATTGGTACTCATTTAACGGTAAATCACGTGGTCTTTAGGTTCAGGTTCTGTTTGTTCGCCATTTGAGCGCCGATTCCACCGAAGATATGATTAAAAACATATTTTCGTTGAGAAATCCGTCGAAAATCAATGTCCAAAAAGTGAAGAAATTGAAGAATTATGCGTTCGTTCACTACTTCAACCGCGAGGACGCAGAGCTGGTCCTCCAGACACTGTCCAGTATAACGCCATTCAATCAATTGTTTGAAAAATCTTAAAAATTATACTTATATTTGTTAGAAACAGATCTTCGGGCCACAGGTCTGACCGATGAGGGCCAGCATCTGGAGATCACTTGGGCTAAGCCGCCGAATCTGGTCAACAATTTCCAGCGCCGAAAGAAGCGCTATTACGGGGCCGGCAATTGTGGCGGCGATGGACTTAACATCAAAACCAATCCATTCTCGCCACACAACGGACAGCTCATGAGCGCAATGTCTTCGCAGTTTGAGTTTAACAACACTTCCAAACACTTGACTCCAAACTATTGTATTAATACTGATAAACATTTGATATTAAAATTACTAAAATAATTATTTAATCTTACTTTTAGACTCGAATCTAATGAGCGGTGACTCCAATAACTGGCGAAACAGTCCGGTAGTGATGCCGGGCTTGAGAGGCAACCCTCGAGCGAACGGTGCGGGCACTGGCAATACGCCTCCGCTTTGGTATCCAATTGATAATCAATATCCTCCGTGGCTTCCCATAAGTGTTGTTCGTTCGCCGCAAACCATTGGAGTGTTTCGTTCGCCACAACCCTATAATGTGTTTCCCCATTAATGCCAATGATTTGCTCTTATAATTGAGAAAATATTCATTCAATTTGAACCAAAACTATTGGTTTTCCATTTAATTAACTCTTAAATATGAACTTTTATTATGAACTCAATTTTATTATTCACTCTTTCCTAGTATTCTTTAAAGAGTTTTACTATTGATCTCTACTCTACTCTACTCTAATCTTAACGACTCTTTTACATAACAATTAATTTTAACTTTATTTTAACCCAACTTTTAATTTCTTATATATAATACTGTGTAAACAGTTTATAACATTTAATTTTATCACTTATTTCTACAGTATAATTATTTTATCATTTTGTCATTTTTATGATATAACTTAACATTTTGAAAACATTAAGATTTTAATTAATTGTATTGTGTTTTAAAAACATATAATAAATTGTTTGAGCATTTGATTCCTTTAGTGTTAATAAAGTACAGTATAAGGAATATTCTGGTCATTACCGTTTTACCCGCATATAAATGCATTGCACTTATAAGGGGTGTATATCCGGATACTGTATCCGGATCTGTACATGTAACATGTAGGTGCGGTAGTTTTTGACACATTCACTTTCAAGTGAAATATACAAATTATTTGAAATGAGTCACAGAACCTGGCATTCACTCTAAAATACGAATTCTCTATGTACGAAATATGTTCACTTTATTGCTGTGTAATTTATACTCTATTCAACGGCTACTCATATATAGTGTACCTGAATATAATTAGTGAGGTTTAAACATATTGTTAATGAAAACTATTAAACTATTATAAACAATGTATAAACAGGGCACATGATGAACATAATAAGTATAACGATTAGAGTGAATAATAGTTTACAAATTATCAAGGTAATGCATATAACACGTAATGTTATAAAGACTTATAGGGAAATCCTACTCTAAAATGTTTCTCTAAAATTTAGAGTCTTAAATGTGTGAAATGAATAGGGTTGGCAATATACAAAATTTGTATTATACAATTGTATTATTCCTTGTATTATACACTGTATAATACAAAGCAAGATTGCCTTTTTGTATAATACAAAAGTGGTACAGCGCCACCTATTGGTAA